TAGAATAGAATAGAATAGAATAGAATAGAATAGAATAGAATAGAATAATATAGGAATTGGGAATAGAATATAAGTCTAAGTGCTATTGCTATTTACCCATATATTTTTTCAACCGTAAGGTAAATAGAATAGAATAGAATAGAATAGAATAGAATAATATAGGAATTAAGAATAGAATAGAATAGGACAAGACAGGACAGAATAGAAAATTAGAAGAGAAGAGAATCAGGAATAGAATAGGAACAGAACAGAATAGAATAGAAATAAGAATTAGGAATAGAATAGAATTAGAATAGAAAATGTAGAATTGAATTCATAGAAGAATAGAATAGAACTAAGAATTAGGAATAGAAAATAGAATGGAATAGGAAATTAGAAGAGAATCAGGAATAGAATAGAATAGAATAGAATAGAATAGAATAGAATAGAATAGAATAGAATAGAATAGAATATCAGAATAAAGAATATAATAGAAATAAGAATTAAGAATAGAATAGAACAGAACAGAATAGAATTCTTTTATTGGCCAAGTGTGATCCAACACACAAGGAATTTGTCTTCGGTGCAGAAGCTCTCAGTGTCCATAAAAATACATTAAAAAACACCTTCATCCAGGATCATAAGATAGAAGATACTTAGTGATCGTCATAGGATCTTCATCGCCCCTCGATTTGAAAGCCGAGAAGGTTCCTAGGCAGAACGATAACGGCGGCCTTGCCTCGCCTTCCTGGGGAATCGGTCAGCTGCTCCGCTAACGGCCCCGTCCTCCCTCCAGATCACCCCGGTTGCGTTGACGTCGAAACATTTGGAGCGGCTGAAGAACAACGTCATGGTGATCGAGGTGTGGAATAAGGTGCTCAGCCCCGGAGGGGACCGACTGCTGGGACTGGCCAAGCTCCCCCTCCATCAGTTCTACATTTCGTTCAAGTAAGAAGCTGCCTTTGCTTTCCTACCTGCAGGGAGTCCTCAGCGGCCATAGCGGAGCCCAAGTTATAGGTCGCTAAGTGAAAAAGTTGAGTTTTGCTCCGTTTTGACAACTTTTCTTGATGCGTTCTTAAGTGAACCGCTTCAGCTGCTAAGTTAATAAGTAACATGTTAGCAAATCATGTGACCCCCGGGGAATGCTGCAATGGTCATAAATGTGAAAAAATGGTCATAAGTCGCTTTTTTTTTCAGTGGCCTTGTAACTTTGATCGGTCACTCAACGAACTTTTTGTAAGTTGAGGACTGCTTGTCATAAATACATCATAAATACAAATATTTATCTACAGGTAATCATGAATACCTGGTCAGGTAGCCCTTGATGAAAAAAGTGATACGACCATTTTTTACACTTACAGCCATTTCGGAAATCCCCAAGGTCACGTGATCAAAATTCAGACCTTTGGCAGCTGACTTACATTTATGACAATTGCAGTGTCCCAGGGGTCACGGGTTCTCCTTTTGCGACCTCCTTACCAAACGAAGTCAATGAGGGGAGCCAAAATATTACTGGAGAGCATGATGGATGACTCTAGGCTATGGATGTGTCCCATTGGAGAATACACATCCAGAGGGTGGAGGGAAGACCAGGGTCAAGGGGGAAATGAATGATATATTTGACTATCGGCTGCATCCAGCTAACACCAACATGGCCACTTTTAATAAATCAATTTTCTTTTCTCTGCGATGCGGATAGAGACTTATGATTTGAATGGGGCTGGATTTGTTGGGAGTCCTGACACCAGATTCACTTAACAGCCAGGTCACTAACTTAACAATGGCCATGATTTACTTTACAACCGGGGCAAGAAAGGTCGTTAAATGGAGCAAAGTTCACTTACCTTGCTTAGGAACTACAGAAATTTCGGGCTCCATTGTCGTCGTACGTCGAGGACTACATGTAGAGAAATATGGCGAGCCAGGCCTACTCATGGCTTCTGCTGTCAACTCGTACAGCATTCCTGGCTTGCTCTTGAGTTGCCATAAGAAGGAGGAGGGGAGATCTGATGGAACAGTTCGTTGCTATGATCAGAAACACACCCTGGGAGGAGGGGGGGAAACAGGGTCATAGGTGGTCGGTAGCTTCGTTGGAGAATGTGATTTATGACACACCCTGGGAGGAGGGGGGGAAACAGGGTCATAGGTGGGCAGTAGCTTCGTTGGAGAGTGTGATTTATGACACACCCTGAGAAGAGGGGAGAAACGGGGTCATAGGTGGGCAGTAGCATCGTTGGAGAGTGTGACTTATGACACACCCTGGGAGGAGGGGCGAAACAGGGTAATGGGTGGGCAGTAGCTTCGTTGGAAAGTGTGATTTATGACATACCCTGGGAGGAGGGGCGAAACAGGGTCATAGGTTGTCCATAGCTCCGTTGGAGAATGTGATTTATGACACACCCTGGGAGGAGGGGAGAAACAGGGTCATAGGTGGGCAGTAGCTTCGTTGGAGAGTGTGACTTATGACACACCCTGGGAGGAGGGGAGAAACAGGGTCATAGGTGGGCAGTAGCTTTGTTGGAAAGTGTGATTTATGACACACCCTGGGAGGAGGGGGGGAAACAGGGTCATAGGTTGGCCGTAGCTTCGTTGGAGAATGTAATTTATGACACACCCTGGGAGGAGGGGAGAAACAGAGTCATAGGTGGGCAGTAACTTCATTGGAGAATGTGATTTATGACACACCCTGGGAGGAGGGGGGAGAAACAGGGTCATAGGTTGGCCGTAGCTTCGTTGGAGAGTGTGATTTATGACACACCCTGAGAGGAGGGGGGAAAACAGGGTCATAGGTGAACAGTAAATTACATGGGGCAGAGCCAACTGTACTACTTGGGAAATGTGCTGATTCCTTTTGAAACTTGGCTCGGGGCTCATGAATTAATTCGGGCATCCCTCGCAACCCGAACATCTGCCTCTTTTCCCCCCCGCAGAGACCCCAAGGTTTCCAGCCTGCTTCTCCAGGCTCAGTATCCAGTGCTGGCGGTGGACGGCCCCATGCCGGTGGTTGACGTCTTCTCCGGCCAAAAGAATGGCAGCCTGAAGACCATCTTAGCCATGGGATCGGCTGACCAGGTGTTGGCGCTGCAGAGGCTCAAGAAGGATGAAGGGCCGGCATCTCCCGCTGTGCTGCGCCCACTGCACGCCCTGGATCCTCTCCCTGCACCCTCCCCTGAGGTGCGTCCACATCATTATTACACGGGGGGGGGGGGCTTGCCCTTTGTGGGGGCCACCCATGGGACCTGTGTGTTTATCTTTATTTCTCCCAAAGATTCAAATGGCTCAGGAAGCATTTTTTTTTTATCAGTTAGAAAAATAGAATAGGTGTCATGCCCTTGTTGGAGTCTGACTCCGCGAGAAAGGAGGAACAGGTGACGGAGTAGGAGTGTGGTTCCAGAGGTTGTGGAGGAAACTGGGGAAGGGCAGAGGCCGGCTGGGCATTCAGAGGAAGACCCAGGCCCATCCCCTCTTCATCCTAGTGCACGCAGGGAGGAGAGGATATGGGAGAAACATGAATGGTGTGGTCTATGGGGGAGGAAAGGGCCCTGATCCCCTTCATGGGCTGCAGCTGGGAGGACTGTTTAACAGGACAAACTGCGCATGGGCCAGTGCTGGAAGCAAAGCGTGAAATAATTTACAGTTCTTATCTGAGTTCTGGTGTCCTTCCCAGTGTGTGTATTTCGATATCCGTGGACGTCTTCAAGCCCTTATCCTGCCTTGTCTCCTTAATTGCTTCAGTGTGGTTTGCGTTGTTTTTTTCTATTTATAATTTATAGGTATTTTTAGTTTGGACGGCATTTCCTCCTTTTCGCAACTGTTTGTGGGGGAGTTTTTTCTCTCCAGTCAATGATAATTGGGCCTTTGAAGCCAAGTTGAAGGAATTAAAGGGACTTCACCTGTTTTTGTGACTTTGTTGCTTTTGTATCCCACCCTGGGACATCACAATCTTTGACTGAGACTTCTTGAACTTGAGTCATGCTAGTTCTAATCCAGGGAGGATTAGGATAATTTACGACACGTGTGTCAAAGCTTTGAGGGGTGCCGGCAAACTTACCTCACTGCACATGCGTGCGCCTCACAGCTGATTTTCAGCCGGTTTGAGGCCTTTTTTGGCCTCTCGGAGGCTTGAGGAAGGCCTCTGCAGGCTGCAGGCCAAAAACTAGGGCCGTTTCAACATTTCCTGTTTTTCTGGAAATACCAGAAGTGATGAAACGGGCCTAGTTTTTGGCCTGCAGAAACCTTCTGCAAGCCTCTAGGAGCCCGAAAAAGGCCTCAAACCGGCCGAAAATCCACTGTGAGGCACAGTGCATGGGTGGGTGGGGATTGCATGTGCATGCATAGGGGGTGTGGTGCGGGGCACGCATTGCCTTCGGGGTGCTGGCCCGCGAGCGCGAACGTGCAAGCACGCCCCCAGTTTTTGGCAGAGGAGCCCGAAAATGTTGGCCACCGCTGGTCGAGTTCATGCCTGCGATATATATCCCACCTGTCCTTCCTTCCCTCCTTTCACTCCTTTCTTCTTCCTTCCCTCCTTCAGCGGTCAAGCAGGGAGAAGGCAGGCCTGGTGGAACATACCTTTGAGGTCCACATTGAAGGGGTCCAAGGCCTAACGCCCCTCCAGACCACCGTCTGGGGAGAAGCGGACTGTTACATCCAGTACCACTTCCCAGTTCAGAAGTCAGAATCCGAGACGCTCCGCCGTGCAGAGCTAAGCGAGAAGGGTGAGTTGGTAGGAAAATCCCCTTCCGGAGAGGCTTCCCAGCCTGGTCCCTCCGCTCCTTGTCAGGAGCAGCAACGAGAGTAACGGAGTTGTATTTCCTCCCTCAGACCTTGAGTTGAAGGCTTTCCGCACCTCCACCGCTTTGTGCGTCCCCGATCCCACCTTCCGCGATGAGCACCACCACTCTCTGCTGGTCCCGGCTGACGTCCCGGTTCAGCGGCTGCTGCTCGGGGCTTTCTCTGCCCAGAGCGTAGCGGGAGAAGGAGGAGGGATTCATTTCGAAATCTGGTGCAGGTATGTCCCTCTCACGCAACCCACTCCCAGGATTCGGGCCAGGTTTTCTCTCTGTCTCTCTCTCCCTCCCTCCCTCCCTCCCTCTCTCTCTCTCTCTCTGCATCTCATGGTGCCTAGGATGTTGGGACACTCGAACAGAATAGAATAGAATAGAATAGAATAGAATAGAATAGAATAGAATAGGAATTCTTTATTGGCCAAGTGTGATTGGACACACAAGGAATTTGTCTTGCTGCAAATGCTCTCAGGATACATGAAAGAAAAGATCCATTTGTCAAGAGTCCAGAATCATCAGGTACAACACAATCATAGTCAGAGGGTACAATAAGCCATCATATCATAATAGAATAGAATAGAATAGAATAGAATAGAATAGAATAGAATAGAATAGAATTCTTTATTGGCCAAGGGTGATTGGACACACAAGGAATTTGTCTTGGTGCAAATGCTCTCAGGATACATAAAAGAAAAGATACATTCGTCAAGGGTCAAGAATCATCAGGTTCAACACTTAATGATGGTCATAGGATGCAATAAGCAATCAAATCATACTAGGAAACAGTCAATATAAATCGTAAGAATGCAAGCAACAAAGTTACAATCACAAGTGGGAGGAGATGGACGATAAGAAGTGATGAGAAGATGAATAATAGTAGTGCAGACTTTGTAAATAGTTGGACAGTGTGGAGGGAATGAGTTGCTTAGCAGAGTGACAGGAAAAACTCCCCTTGTGTCTAGTTGTTCTGGTGTGCAGGGCTCTATAGCGTCGTTTTGAGGGAAGGAGTTGAAACAGTTTATGTCCAGGATGTGAGGGGTCTGTAGATATTTTCCCAGACCTCTTTTTGACTCCTGCAGTATATACAGGTCCTCCATGGAAGGCAGGTTGGTAGCCATTGTTCTTTTCTGCCATCCTAATTCCTCTCTGGAGTCTGTGACTGTCCTGTTGGGTTGCAGAACCAAACCAGACAGTGACAGAGGTGCGGATGACAGACAAATGTGGCCAGTCTCCCGATTCCTGTCCTATCTTCCCCCACAATTGTCTTTTTGTGTAGGCTAAATCCCTCCAGATCTTTTAATTAGTCCTCTAAAGTGGAGTGGGGAGGAAGAGGATGATTCTGAGATCCTGGGTGCTCTCTGAGCTGGCTTGTTTTCTGGCAGATGTTTCAGGAGCCAATTAGAGAACATCAGTGGAACTGAGAGTGGGGCTTGCTCGTTCCTTTCTAGCATTGATGATGTTGCCTAGTTGGCTCATGAAACTTCTGCCAGAAAACAACCCAGCTCAGAGAACGTCAAGGACCACACAGTTCTCCTCCGCTTCCTCCTCCTCCTCCTCCTCCTCCTCCTCCATAAACCCCACTCCCTTTTAGCACTGATGATGTTCCATAGTTGGGTCATGAAACATCCTCAAAGAAACCACCAAGCTTAGAGAGCACCAAGGATCCCATCTTCCTCCTCCTCCTCCTCCTCCTCCCCCCTACCAACTTTACTCCCTTCTAACACTGATGATGTTACCTAGTTGGGTCATGAAATGCCTGCAAGGAAACCACCCAGCTCAGAGAGCACCAGGGACCCCACAGTCTTCCTCCTCTTCCTCCTCCTCCTCCTCCTCCTCCTACTACTACTACTACTACTACTACTACCAGAATAACAGAGTTGGAAGGGACCTTGGAGGTCATCTAGTCAAACCCCCTGCTCAAGCAGGAGAACCCTTCCTCTTCCTCCTCTGTAAGAAAACCACGAAGCTCAGAGAGCACCAAAGACCGCACAGTCGTCCTCTTCCTCCTCCTCCTCCTCTCCACAAACCCCACTCTCCACTCCCTACTAGCCCTGATGATGTTACCTAGCTGGGTCATGAAATGTCTGCCAGGAAACCACCCAGCTCAGAGAGCACCAAGGACCCCAAAATCGTTCTCTTCCTCCTCCCTCCTCCTCCTCCTCCTCCTCCTCCTCCCCACAAACCCCACTCCCTTCTACCACTGACAATGTTACCTAGCTGGGCCATGAGACGTCTGCAAGAAAACCACCCAGCTCAGAGAGCACCGAGGATCCCAAAGCCTCAAATATCCTATTAGTTAATTTCTCACCGTGCTTTGCCCTTGACCAAGGAGCTTAGTTTCCTGTTCACATTTGCTGTCTCTTGTTTTCTCCGGCTGAACTGTAGCATTGCAACCGTTTTGGTGCCATCTCTTCCGCAGGTACTACTACCCGAATGTCCGAGATCAGATGGTTGCCAGGGCGAGCTTGCCCCTCTCGCGCCTCTGCGCCATGGTCACCATGCAGCACCGTCAGGAAGTGGGGATCCAGACTTTTCACCTGCCTATCATGCCAAGAATCAGCAGCTCAGGAGAGCTCCATCCTCAGTCCTCAGGTAAGGGAAGACACCTGGTAGCATAGAACAGAAGAGAATAGGAACAGAATAGAATTCTGTATTGACCAAGTGTAATAGGACACACAAGGACTTTGC